ATGTCGATGCCCATGTTTCTCGCTGATCCATCCATAGCATGGTATGGCCTAAGGCTGGCCTAGGGTGATCTTTGCAACCCTAAAGTATGGTCAGCTGTCCCCAGCTGCGCGACTTTTTGGCCAAGGCTTTGAGCTTCGAATCCAGGGTAGGGGCTCCCAGCCCATGGCACTCAGGGTTTGGCTTGATATTCCTACGTATGATTGAACCAATGGTAATTCCCAGTGCTTGTGTTGGTGGTTTGGATTCGCCAGCCGCTGGTGGCAGTTGGGATCGAAGCCTTTTTGTAGCTGTCAGAGGTTCGAAACGGAACATCACGGGGCCAAAATGATCACGTCACATGGTCCAAAGAGTCACTTGAGCCTTGCACCCCTTGGAGCTGAAGAAATGATGCGCGCAGCAGGTGAAAGTGGTGACACCCTTCCGAAAAGGAATGAGATCAACCGGCTCGAAACTAGACCAAGTTGAAAAAGGGTACCTAGTAGACGTACCTATATCAAAGCAACCACACACATACATGAAGCTTGCAACCTGCTTTACCGCTATACCCATAGCACCAAAGAAAATATGGAGAGAGCAAGGGCCAAGATGTCTTCCCAAAGTTCATGTTCTTCCTTGGTGTTTTTTTTTATTTGCCTGCCCAACTTGGCACGACTGGGACGTGAATCGCGTTCAGCCACTGGCCATGGGCAATGCTCTGCCATCAATGCACCAGGCGAACACGTGGGTCCCACATTCAGTCTGGTGTAGTGAATGTTCATGGATCAAATCCTTGTAGCTGGTTTTCGCATCAAAATAGCTAGCACATAGATATTCATCCCCCATTCTTATGGTATCTTAACCTGTGATTCAGCACAAAATTTTCCAAGACGCCCTGGTCTTCTAGGTTGGTGAACTTTTGTCTTGGCAGAGTGAGTGGGATTTCTCTGGTTTATGCTTTACCAGCCACACAAACATATCTTCAATTGATGGCTAGGTTTTCCAACATTTTTCAATCGATCTCCCTAGGATAATTCTAGGTGACATGATCAACTGCCAAGATCAAAGTTCCATTTTTGATTTGAACAAATCACTGTAAAGCGACAGGCCACCCCAAAAAAACGATAACTTATATTTTTGTACCAGGCGTAAACAATTGATTTTGACGGCGGCTCATATATATATATATATAAATATACACATACATATACATAATATACATATACATAATATATATATTCATACATATACATTATATATATATACATATACAATATATATATATATTTATATTCATACTTATACATATTATATTTATATACATACATATACATAATATATATATATATGATACATATATATATATTTATATATTATACATATATATATACATATATATATATATAGTAACAGGCGTAAACAATTGATTTTACGGCGGCTCACATATATATATATACATATATGTAGGACCAGGCGTAAACAATTGATTTTGACGGCGGCTCAAATATATACATATATATTTACACATACACACACATATATATATACAAATACATATATATATATATTTATACACACATAAATAAATAGATAGATAGATAGATAGATATATATATAAACATTTACATAATTATTTATTTGTATATATATATCTATGTCTCTATCTCTATATCTATCCATCTACCGATCTATCGATCTATGATCGATCGATCGATCGATCGATCTATCTATCTACCTATCTATCTATCTATCTGTCTATCTATCTATCTATCTTTCTTATCCTACCTATCTATCTACCTACCTACCTATCTATCCATCCATCTATCTAACTGTCTGTCTATCTATCTATCTATCTATCTATCTATGTATCTATCTATCTATGTATCTATCTACCTATCTTTCTATCTATCTATCTATCTATCTCCCTGTCTATCTATCTATCTATCTATTTATCTTGTCTATCATATCTACCGCATTATCTATCTTATTATCTGTCTTATTATCTTTCATATCTATCATATCTATCTTGTCTATCTTATCAATCTTATCTATCGTATCTATCTTATCCATCTTATCAATCTTTTACATCTTATCAATCTTATCAATCTTGTCAATCTTATCAATCTTATCTATCTATCAATCTATCAATCTGTCAATCTATCAATCTTTCAACCTATCAATCTATCAATCAATCTATCTATCTATCAATCCATCAATCTATCAATCTATCAGTCTATCAATCTATCAATCTATCAGTCTATCAATCTATCAATCTCTCTATCTATCTATCTATCTATCTATCTATCTATCTATCTATCTATCTATCTATCTATCTATCTATCTATCTATCTATCTATCTATCTATCTATCTATCTATCTATCTATCTATCTATCTTGTCTATCATATCTATCTCATGATCTATCTTTTTATCTGTCTTATTATCTTTCATATCTATCATATCTATCATATCTACCTTGTCTATCTTATCTATCTTATCTATCGTATCTATCTTATCCATCTTATCAATCTTATCAATCTTATCAATCTTATCAATCTTATCTATCTATCTATCTATCTGTCTGTCTGTCTGTCTATCTATCTGTCTATCTATCTATCAATCAATCTATCTATCTATCTATCAATCTATCTATCTATCTGTCTATCTATCTATCTATCTATCTATAGATATAACATATTTTGCAGGACTGAGTTGTTTTTTTCCCAGAATTGGTTTGCAATAAGGGAACATCTACAAAAACAGCCCTTACATTATTCGATGTGCCATGGTTTTCCCATGCTGGGAGTTGATTGACCAGGATTTGGATCCGCTGTTGGATACCTTGGTCCTAAGAAAGGGCAAGGCTGCCGGACGGGACTGGGTACCATGGTATGAGCCACCTGGGGATACACCCTGTTGATATTTTGGTTTAACCAATTGCAAACTGAGGGATGGTGATATCAAACTGTACTTCTTTGATACTATATGCAATTTTTGTCAGTTCCCCAATGAAAAATTAAAGGACCGGATAACCCCGCATGTCATCTTCTTCCAACAAGCAGCAAAAGAAAGGTAAAGATGGCATGGGGAAAGAAGGAAAGAGAAAAGATATGGTGAAGGATTGGTGTGGAGCAAGTTGTGTGTGGAAGAGTAAGTGTGAGTACGTTGTGCGGTGATAAGTTGTGTGTGTGTGTAACATCTAAACAGATGTAAAACTTCTCTCTTTTTCTTCCTTCCGTCCTCTCCCTTTCTAAATAACGCAGGGGGTGCCAGGGATCATTGCAAGTCTGGCACTAACAAAGACACTTGCCTTGATCTGTGATATCAGAAAGGGACGCCTTTCTGACGTACCTGCCAATTTCCCATCTAATCTGCATGTTTCAGGATTCAGTTCCTGCCGGATCATATAATGATCCATTCTTGTCTAGTGTGATTCCTATGGTGACTCCGACATGGTGCCATAGGGCCAATTGAGGCAACCCCAGTTGGGGTCAATGTCGACTGACTTGAATTCCGAATTCACACATTTTAATATGGTAATTCGCTTAAGTAAAGCGAAACTGTCGGCCTTACTGTTATCCACCGTTTTTGAAGAGTCTCGCTGCTCCTGTAGTCCCAGGGTTTTGTCGCCGAGATTCCTGTCTGCCAGAGTGAAGCCGTTCGAAACAATCAGAAACTCTGTTTTTTACTGCAGCTTCAGCTTTTGAACATTTGTGACAACAGAAAGGCAGGCACATGCTTTCCAGGTGTGGTCCTTTTTCTTTTGATGGTTGTCTGGTGAGGTTAAACATATTGTGCACCTAATTCGTTGGAACTTGAAAGCCGTTTTATGCCGATTGGGGCAAGACTTGAACACGGGCCTGGAGTGGCATAACGCACGAACCCTAGGTTTAGGAGCTGAATCCTGTTGTTTAACTAATTGTTTTGGTTTCCTTGTCTGTCACCAACTAGTCCCCCATTTGGTCCCTAATTTTCCCCGCGTGCCTCTCCGTAATGTGTCGTGGGGTTTAGGTGAGTGCGCTGTTTTGGTCAGGTCCGTTTCGCCGTGTAGGTTGGTTCTGGAGGTCCGTCTGTTCCCCTCCCCCCCCGCGCTTGTTTTGGCCGTCTGCCCGTCGTGTGTCCGCTTTTTTCTTCCTCTTGCCTTTCAGGGTTGACCCGGCTCTGGCCGGGTGTGTGTGTGTAACATCTAAACAGATGTAAAACTTCTCTCTTTTTCTTCCTTCCGTCCTCTCCCTTTCTAAATAACGCAGGGGGTGCCAGGGATCATTGCAAGTCTGGCACTAACAAAGACACTTGCCTTGATCTGTGATATCAGAAAGGGACGCCTTTCTGACGTACCTGCCAATTTCCCATCTAATCTGCATGTTTCAGGATTCAGTTCCTGCCGGATCATATAATGATCCATTCTTGTCTAGTGTGTGCGTGCAGAAGTTGTGACAGGGAAGGAAGGAAAAACAAAGGAGGTGGTGAAAAGGATCGAGAAGTAAAAACAGTTGTGTGGATAAAGTTGTCTATAGTCTATACGTATGTATCAGCCGCATGCGCGTTTTGTTTTCCACAGAACATGATGTTCAGGTACGGCAGCATCTGCGCGATGAAGTCGGTACCTGGCAGAGAACAACACAAAACAACGGCCTGTCATTGGTGTTAAGACACGGCGACATTATCATGAAGACTGCCAGTTTTGGAATCACAGACGGATAACAGACACGTGAACACAGTCAACCGCAACAGCACGATCAAAGATCATGACGCACGAGAGTGCTGGATCTGCGCGATGAAGTCGTTACCTGGCAGCAAATGCTTTCATCAGACGTGCTGAAGCAGAACATCTCTCATGCAGGTGGAGCAAATGAATGCACAGTGACAACTCTATTTGCAGCTTTTTTCCTTCGGTACAAAGCGCTATATCAGATTTTCGCACTGCGCGGCAATCTAGGCGCGCGTACCGCAGAGCCGCTAGCAGCGACAAGGAATCTTCGCACGGCGCGGCAATCCAGTCGCGTGCACCGCAGGGCCTCCTCTTACGCCGCATCCTCAGTCATCGACGCGTCCTCCGGCGCTGTCTCCATGACGCTTGCAAGACGCTTCATTGGAGTCCATGCCTGGTCGTAGGTGAGTGTTTGTGGGCTTTTGACTTCAGATTCATAGATCCGCAGCATGAAGTTCTTGACTCCCTGCGCACGATGTGCTTCCACCCGCACGTGCCACAGCACGCTCCACTGGCCAGCATCTGAGGTGTGAGCGGCTTTTGACTTCAGATTCATAGATCCGCAGCATGAAGGTCTTGACTCCCTGCACACGATGTGCTTCCACCGGCACGTGCCACAGCACGCTCCACTCGCCAGCATCTGAGGTGTGAGCAAGCACCACGAAATGCGCCTCGCCCACGTTGCCCCGCAGCAGCCATGCCACCGCCGATGCAGGGCCAGCGCAACGCAGCTTCACCCGGCTCGGCGCACCTGTGGCAGCCGGGGCAGACAATAGGCAGTCCACGGAGCGCTTGACGCGCATTGCCGAGGTGGACGTGTTGTCCTTCTGCAGAGCTTCCTCGTCGGGGAGCTGCTCGTCATTGAAGGCCACCAAGCATCTGACGAAGCTAGCCGCTTCCACGTCATCCACCGAAATCAAGCCAAGCTGGGCATACACCTGCAACGTAGCCAATGGCGCGACTGGGCAACCGTTGTTCATCTGGCAATGGGACGCTTTCCAGTTCAGGGCTTCAGGTGCGACGACAGCTTCAGCTCGGCTGGCACGCAGACAAGGCGCCAGGTGTCGACATTCCAACTCAGTCTGCTGGTAATCATTCTCCCGGAAGGTGAAGCGACACAGCCACTGCGCAGCGCGAAAGAGATCACGGAGCTGGGCACGCACCGGCTGCGTATCTTGGACTCCATCCGGCAGAGCAGCACCCATGTCAGCGGCCGCTCGCAGGACCAGCTCGTGGTAGAGGACGACAGTGCACTGGAAGTTGGAGTCGGCCAAAGTCAACCGCAAAGCGAAGCGCCTCTCTATGCTATAGGGTGCGCCTGGTCACAGGAGGGGATGCGTCATGCATAAATAGTTCACACCTTGTATATCTTGATTCGTGCATGCGCGCAGCTATTTAAACGTGCACCACGCCTCGCACGGCGCCGCTTTCTTGCACTTGACACAAGAATTGATGGCCACTGATCGGTATCGCTCTTCACGGACGAGATGCCAAGCACCTGCAGACCCACCACCTCAAAGACCGTCTCCAACTTCCGGAGCTGTCCTGGTACTATAGCTCCCACCAAACTGCTCAGCGACGATGGCGTGGCCGGGCAACCGATCCAATCCTTCACAGGAATCTCCGTCAGCATGCGGCAATTGTCTTTGTGCGCCAGCTCGCCTTTCCTGACATCCGGTCAAAAGCAGCTACATGAAACAAACACAAAAAAAGTAAGACCTACAAACGAAAATCAACCGTCTAAACAACTAACTGTCTAAACTACGCAAAGAGCCGCGGCGCCACCGCGCCACCTGGTGACCACGCGCGCCACCAGAGCCAGCCCAGTGCCATAAGTGCCACGCCTGCCATGCAAAGTAACAATCGATGTCGTCAAGTGCCACGCCTGCCACGCAAAGTGAAGGTGGATGTGACCAAGTGCCCCGCCTGCCGCGCAAATTGAAGGGTGGATGTCACCAAGTGCCACGCCTGCCACGCAAAGTGAAGGTGGATGTCACCAAGTGCCACGCCTGCCACGCAAAGTGAAGGTGTGATGACAAGATGTGTGTGAGGACAAGTTGTGTGTGAGCAAGTGGTAAGTTGTGTGAGAACAAGATGTGTGTGAGTGAGCAAGTTGTGTGATGACAAGTTGTGTGTGAGTGAGCAAGTTGTGTGATGACAAGATGTGTGTGAGCAAGTTGTGTGTGAGGACAAGTTGTGTGTGATGAGGACAAGGGACGACGGGAGTAGCCGGGAGGAGGCGGACGGCGGGATACAGAACCAAAAACAAGAACCCCACACAAAGATGTGGGGAACCGCGGCGCCACCGCGCCACCTGGTGACCACGCGCACCACCAGAGCCAGCCCAGTGCCATAAGTGCCACCCTTGCCACGCAAAGTAACAATCGATGTCGTCAAGTGCCACACCTGCCACACAAAGTGAAGGTGGATGTGACCAAGTGCCACGCCTGCCACGCAAAGTGAAGGGTGGATGTGACCAAGTGCCACGCCAAAGTGAAGGTGGATGTCACCAGTGCCACGCCTGCCACGCAAAGTGAAGGTGGATGTCAAGAAGTGCCACGCCCGCCACGCAAAGAGCCGCGGCGCCACCGCGCCACCTGGTGACCACGCGCGCCACCAGAGCCAGCCCAGTGCCATAAGTGCCACGCCTGGCACGCAAAGTGAAGGGTGGATGTGACCAAGTGCCACGCCTGCCACGCAAAGTGAAGGTGGATGTGACCAAGTGCCACGCCTGCCACCAAAGAGCCGCGGCGCCACCGCGCCACCTGGTGACCACGTGCGCCACCAGAGCCAGCCCAGTGCCATAAGTGCAACGCCTGCCACGCAAAGTAACAATCGATGTCGTCAAGTGCCACGCCTGCCACGCAAAGTGAAGGGTGGATGTCACCAAGTGCCACGCCTGCCACGCAAAGTGAAGGGTGGATGTTACCAAGTGCCACGCCTGGCACGCAAAGTGAAAGGTGGATGTGACCAAGTGCCACGCCTGCCACGCAAAGTGAAGGGTGGATGTGACCAAGTGCCACGCCTGCCACGCAAAGTGAAGGTGGATGTGACCAAGTGCCACGCCTGCCACGCAAAGTGAAGGTGGATGTCATGAAGTGCCACCGCACCACCTGGTGACCACGCGCGCCACCAGAGCCAGCCCAGTGCCATAAGTGCCACGCCTGCCATGCAAAGTAACAATCGATGTCGTCAAGTGCCACGCCTGCCATGCCAAGTGAAGGGTTGATGTCACCAAGTGCCACGCCTGCCACGCAAAGTGAAGGGTGGATGTCACCAAGTGCCACGCCTGCCACGCAAAGTGAAGGTGGATGTCACCAAGTGCCACGCATGCCATGCAAAGTGAAGGTGGATGTGACCAAGTGCCACGAAGGTGGATGTCACCAAGTGCCACGCCTGCCACCAAAGAGCCGCGGCGCCACCGCGCCACCTGGTGACCACGTGCGCCACCAGAGCCAGCCCAGTGCCATAAGTGCTACGCCTGCCATGCAAAGTAACAATCGATGTCGTCAAGTGCCACGCCTGCCACGCCAAGTGAAGGTGGATGTGACCAAGTGCCCCGCCTGCCGCGCAAAGTGAAGGGTGGATGTCACCAAGTGCCACGCCTGCCACGCAAAGTGAAGGTGGATGTCACCAAGTGCCACGCCTGCCACGCAAAGTGAAGGTGTGATGACAAGATGTGTGTGAGGACAAGTTGTGTGTGAGCAAGTGGTAAGTTGTGTGAGAACAAGATGTGTGTGAGTGAGCAAGTTGTGTGATGACAAGTTGTGTGTGAGTGAGCAAGTTGCGTGATGACAAGATGTGTGTGAGCAAGTTGTGTGTAAGCAAGTTGTGTGTGAGGACAAGTTGTGTGTGATGAGGACTAGAGACGACGGGAGGAGGCGGGAGGAGGCGGACGGCGGGATACAGACCCAGAAACAAGAACCCCACACAAAGATGTGGGGAAAAACGCATCTGCTTGCCTTTCAATGCGCGTGCCAGGGCATTCACAAGGCCGATCTTGTGCGCGCACGAGGTGTGGACTAGCGGACTAGGTGCCCAAATCTTCCCCCTATTTTGGGATACCCTCCGGTAATCAAACATGGCAATTCAAAATCCCTTATAGATAGAGGTTCTAAGGGGAAAACCAACTACTAAATGGAGGATTTTCCATTGCCATATTTGATTACCAGAGGGTGCATCAATTTATGGCCTTTTTGTTTGGGAACATGATGATAAACCGTGATAAACCATGGGATTTTTGTTTTTTTTTCCCATAGATTTTCAGACAAATGCTCACACTTTGACGAGACTGGGCTATCCCCTCTCTCAGATGTTTGAGATGGCCCAGAGACTCTATGCTCTTGGACCTTTGTGCAGAACTGCCAAAGGGTCAAGCCATGAATGGCAGACCCATGGCTGGCGAAAACGTCCCCTTGGCTGAGAAAATGATTATACCAATGGAAAGCGTCAACTTCGACACTCGGTGGACATAAATGAGTTCATCAAAGGAAGTTGGGAAGCAATACTTCCGTGTTACGGACAAATAGAATTCTGAGACTTGAAATGATGAAGGGTGGTGCGCGACTAAGACTTGACCTTGATGAAGGGTGGTGTGAGACTTTACATTACATAACAATACATCACAAAAGGATTGACCTTGATGAAGGGTGGTGTGAGACTTTACATTACATAACATTACATCACAAAAGAATTGACCTTGATGAAGGGTGGTGTGAGACTTTACACTACATAACAATACATCAGAAAAGAACTGACTTTGATGAAGGGTGGTGTGAGACTTTACACTACATAACAATACATCACAAAAGAATTGACCTTGATGAAGGGTGGTGTGAGACTTTGCATTACATAACTTAACAATACATCAGAAAAGAACTGACTTTGATGAAGAGGTGGTGTGAGACTTTACACTACATAACAATACATCACAAAAGAATTGACTTTGATGAAGGGTGGTGTGAGATTTGCACTACATAACAATACATCACAAAAGAACTGACCTGCATGAATGTTGCATGCCGTGTGTTGTGGGGAGGAAGCCGGAGCACGAAGCCGTGTGTTTTTTTGTGTCAAGTGGCTGCAGCCGGCGATGAAAGGTACCTCGTGTGTGCGCGGGTGTGGCTGGGGTCGTTTGGTTCCTTCTATGTGTTTTGCAACAATGGTTGTTCCTGTCTGCGTAGTTCTATGCGTTTCTTGAAGCTGTGCTTGCAGATCGCATTGGAATGAATGCATGAATGTTGCATGCCCTGTGTTGTGGGGAGGAGGCCGGAGCACGAAACCTTGTGTTTTTCCGTGTAAAGTGGCTGCAGCCGGCGATGAAAGGTACCTCGTGTGTGCGGCGGGTGCGGCTGGGGTCGTTTGGTTCCTTCTATGTGTTTTGCAACAATGGTTGTTCCTGTGTGCGTAGTTCTATGCGTTTCTTGAAGCTGTGGTAGCAGATCGCATTGGAATGGCTGCATGATGTTGCATGGGCTTTGTGTTGGGGAGGGAGCCGGAGCACGAAACCTTGTGTTTTTCCGTGTAAAGTGGCTGCAGCCGGCGATGAAAGGTACCTCGTCTGTGCGGCGGGTGCGGCTGGGGTCGTTTCATGCGCGAATTGTTCCTCCTATGTGTTTTCCAACGAGTGGTTGTTCCTGTGTGCGTAGTTCTATGCGGTTCTTGAATCTCTGGTTGCAGATCGCATTGGAATGGCTGCATGAATGTTGCATGGGTTCTGTTTTGGGGAGGAAGCCGGAGCACGAAACCTTGTGTTTTTCCGTGTAAAGTGGCTGCAGCCGGCGATGAAAGGTACCTCGTCTGTGCGGCGGGTGCGGCTGGGGTCGTTTCATGCGCGAATTGTTCCTCCATGTTCCTCCTATGTGTTTTGCAACGAGTCGTTGTGTCTGTGTGCGTAGTTGTATGCGGTTTTTGAATCTATGGTTGCAGATTGCATTGGAATGGCTGCTTGATTGTCGTCATCTGATGTTGCCACGTGCGTAGATAGGTGCAGGTTTGCTACGGGATGCTGCGAAACGCAATGTAATGGCTGCATGAATGTTCCATGGGCTATGTTTTGGGGAGGAAGCCGGAGCACGAAACCTTGTGTTTTTCCGTGTAAAGTGGCTGCAGCCGGCGATGAAAGGTACCTCGTCTGTGCGGCGGGTGCGGCCGGGGTCGTTTCATGCGCGAATTGTTCCTCCATGTTCCTCCTATGTGTTTTGCAACGAGTGGTTGTGTCTGTGTGCGTAATTCTTTGCGGTTCTTGAATCTCTGGTTGCAGATTGCATTGGAATGGCTGCTTGATTGGCAGCTATCTGGACAACCTCCGCGCGGTGG